TTTCCCTGTAGGTCCAGGTTCATCATTCAGAGTCTACAGTGCACACAGAAGACAAACACTTTTAAAAGACAATTGGGTTTTCCAAGAGGCCACAGGGGGGCAGAAGTGGTCAGTGCTAATCCAATAGCAGGATGATCCCTGGTTTAGTGGTCCGACTCCCTGTGTCCGAGTGACTTTAGTTTCTTTCTTGCTGATTGACCATAATTTTGACTAATTGCAAAAGATTTTTTGTCCCTGTACTAGAACAGTGAAGGAAGATGAATGAATACAGTTTTCTTAGGCAAGGAGATTAGTTCATCCTCAACTGGGAGTAAACGTGTATTAATAAGAGTCAGGGGGAGCTGTGCATAAAAAAAAACATATGGTGCACATTCTGCTGATTAACAAACTTGCGTTTCCAATTCAACAAGTCACTGCAGGAAAAAAAACAAGCGTGCAACAACAAAAATACACAGATGCATGTCAGTGTGTGGTTTTGTATTTTTTTTGTGTGTTTATGAATTTCAACAAAGAACTGACTTCTGTAATGACTTATATGATAAAAAACAGATAGTTAAAAAAAAAAAAAAAGCAGGCAGCACAGCAGTCTACAATGTTGTACAGTCTGCCAGAAGCTCAAAAAGAACATGAAGCAATGGGTGACAGTCGTAACAGAAGCAAAAGTACAAACTTGTCATCACAGCTGATTAAGGACAAGCCGAGCCGTCACACAAAACGGAACAGCTCTATTTCACTCACACATGCAACTCTCTTTCATCTGCTCAGCTGGCATTTATTTTGCCAACACTTCTAAAAGTGTCTCGTAAGCCTCAGAGAACATGCTGGAGAACGTCTCCTTTCAGCCCACATCAAGGCGTCCTACATTGGCTTATGTGATGGTACAATAAGGAAAGCACTCACCTCGCTGGAAGAGAAGATTAAAGTGTGCGAGCGCCCAGACAGATTGGGTTCAGCAACTAACCCAAAGATGTCTGAACTGGGACTGGCAGCGTTAGAATCATCTATGACTGAAAAACTCTGGAACAAGTGGAAACAAGGAACGCATTTACTCAAGTAACACATCAGCAAACAACACTTGGATGAGAAACAACGGACAGGCTGCATGAGTTCTAACAGTAGAACTATTCTACTCTACTACTGAATTTGTACTAGTCAGTGATCTGGGTTACTGTGTTACATCAATGCAGAAACGTTGGTACACTTTCTCAACATTCTAGAAAACCTAAAATCTGTAACTTCACTTGAACTTCTAACAGGAGTCATCTGGACTGCTGTCAGGCAGGTCTTTGAAGCCACTGTATTGTGTTTTGTAATTTGTTCCTTATTTTGACATAATAAGGAACAAACACATAAAAGTTCTGGCAAAAAATGTGTCAGCATTTCAGAATGTCATTTTAAGAAGTTCCAACATTAGATTTAGCATCAAGGCTAACTTCTGAAAAGATAAGAATTGATAACATGTGGCTAGTAATATTTCTCACACCTATAAACATATAGGTAAAAAAATTCTCATAATTGAAGTACACATGTTGTTATGTATTTATTCAAATGTTATTTTACCTCTGTATAGCCTAAATGATACACAGGGGTGATGCAAAACATTTGTTACAAAACTGCAGTACTTCTACTTTAGTGTACTTTAGAATCATAGGTTATTGTTATGTATAGTGTAATACATTGTAGTATAGTTTCTTAACGTTAGTAGAGTTTAGTACTTTGCACTGTAGAAGAGCTCAGTATGGAGTACTTAGGACTTATAGTAATTTGTAGTATAGTTAAGTACAGACTGCCTTAGTGACGTTTTGAGTACGATGAGATGACATACATAATTAGTTTTTTTTGCCAGTTCAGTAAAAGTTCAAGTGAACTTTGAAAGAACAGATTTTAGTGTGAATTTCCTTGTGTACCAATCATCAAATACAGATTAAAGAGCAGTGAGAAACCTGTGGTCATCGACAAGCGAATAGTTAGAGGGAAGATCGAGATGTATGACCTACGACGGCCGTCAAAGGTGAGCCCACTGTGAACCAATCCACCACCAACTACAACAACAACCACTACATTTAACTACGACAAACACAAAGACCAGCAGGTTGTCAAGTTTACCGTCTAAAGCAGCTGAATTTTCCACAGACAATTGTGGGTTAAACACAGAGTCAGGGCTTTTGCACCAGTTTATATGAAATCTCATGAAAAGTTCAATGAATGTAGTTGAGGAATTTCCCATCTGAGGTGGTATCTTCTGGTATAAAGGTCAGTGTTGCAGAGAGAGATATTTCTCCATATTTTACTTTGCTGGTGCAAAAAGTCCTACGTAGATTTTCCCTATTTTATCTAATACAAACGGAGGACTACAACAACCACACTACAGTGACAAATGAGGAGCTGCATTTGTTAGTACTGCTCTAACCGGTGTTCTAAAATCAAAGGGGTAAAACAGAAAGTTGTATACTGTACCAAATCTAATGATCGACTGAATAAAGAAGACCAGGAGAGATTTGTCTGTTTGAAGGAAACATGTTTCAGTCACATGAATGTCCAGGCAGCACAGCAGTGAAAATGAGTTGTTCTGCGGTGCTGTTCACAGCAGAACAACTAAATCCCTGCACTCTGTAACGGCTTCGCTCGGGTTCAGCTTATGTCTTGAACTCATTAAACAGAATGGTGGAAACATCAGCCTGAACCACAGCCTGTATGACAGTGAGCCAGCCGTTTCATTGGGCGTGTTTCATCTGTCACTTTTTTTTAAGAAATCACTGAAAAGCCACCAAATCCTCCCTGCTGGCTCCTGCAGGCCGCTCACATGTGGCTTCAGTTTGTGTAGCCACTGCATTCTGTAGTTGATAGAGCAGGGAAGTACAGGCGTGCGTGTGTGTGTGTGTGTGTGTGTGTGTGACACCAGCCTACACATATTGTTTTACATGGTGTTTATACAGTAGATGGTACAGTGTGTAAAAACAGGGAAAAGTTGTACACAGTTCAGAAAAAGGACCAGATTTTCTCTGGTCCATTCCTATTTGTTTGGACAGTGTGTGTGTTGATTTTTTTAAGATACACATTGCTACATAAGTGTGCCGACTGACAAGTAAGGTAAGGGTACATTGGTATGTCTTAATAAAAATGGCCTGGAAGTCTTGATTCAAAAGATGGAAAGCATGAATGGTCGAGCTTGCCAAGAAATTATGGTCAATTCTGGGCTTTCAACTTTGTGGGAACAGCTTGGGAGAGACACTCCAGCATAACTGTGTTCTAACTGACCAAAGCCAGGTCCACAAGGGCAAGGTTGGTTGAGCTGGTTGTGGAAGAACTTG